TTGGTGCGAACGCTGAGCCTATCATGCAGCCTGGCGCACCGGCAGGTATGTATGCTGCATGCATGGACTGGAGTTTTATGTCAGGTCAGTAGCTGTGCCGTCTTTATCTTTCCTTGCCAGCAGCGCATGGCGAGTGCGAGAACGCCGAATGTGGTTGATGTATCGCAAGTATCCTACGTAAATGGAATTGCGTTCAGCCCACCTATGCCGCAGGAGACGGCCATCGTCGAGTGTGAGGGGGACTAATTATCATGTATTTTGCAATGTGCAACAACAGACCTCATTTCCGCTACGACGTCTGTTTAGTCATTCCCTCGGCGCTTCCTAAACGTCGGTGGAAGTAGTTGGCCACCGGATGTCTCCAGCAATGCGGCAGCTTTGCTCTCCGCTAGGCAGTCATTTTATGGAGGACATAACTGACAAATCTTGGGAACCTGGCGGCTGTAGCCGCAATGTATGCCCAACTTTGATGACCAACCCACCCTGCTTTCCGTAGCAGAGTTTCATCCCTCCCCAGTCTACGCGCCATCATATGACCCTCCTCGAGGGAAGTCGTCCACGCAACACGTAGGCTACGCAACGACAAAACACCCGGGGAAGACGGTATTCTCACCAAAATCTGTAAGCCTTATGCCAACGCTGTCACCCTGGCCCTATGAGATGGCTGATCAAGCGTGGGGGTATGAGCTCTTTCCGGATGACTGAGGTTCGGCCATCTTTGTGCTGAAAGGAGACAAGGTAAAGTGCGAGAACTACCGCGGCAGAAGTTCTATCTGTGTTGCTGTGAAGACCTCCTCCGCTGTTCCTTTCCCAGGTGATTTAGGAGTGCAAGTTACTCCGGGATGAGACCCAATCAAACAGCGTTCCGAGACGGACGTAGACACACCGGAACGCACTCTTGAATTCCGCCAAGGCTACCAGCAACTGACAGCAATCTGCCTTGTTGACTTCATTGGGACGTTCGATTTTATCCATCCTGAGTCCCTAATAGCGGATTATGGGGGTAGACGGTATGGCGGTATTAATCATCGCTATGATTGGGGCCTACTATCGTCCCACCAGTAAGCGAGTTCTACTCCACAACAATCTCTCCTAACCGGTTGGTCTTCGGTCTGGCGTCCTCCTCTGTATTTTGCTACCCATCCTGTTGAACTAGGCCTTTGACTAGATTCGCGGAAAAATCCTAGACAGTTCTGATGGTGTCGCATTTTCTCGCGTGCGCCGACTGTCTGACATCGACTACCTCAATAGTATCACCCTGCTAGCGTGCAGCTTTCGTGATCTACAAGATTTGTCACAGGTTTATAAGGTCGCCAAATCAGTCGGTTTGCCCGCAAATGCTGGGAGGACTAAAGTTTTTCCGAACTGCATCCCTGATCAGGAGAAGACATCCCTCTGGATCACCGGCCGTCAAACGGAGGGAGTGGACGGTTTCAAATATCTCGGGGTGAGACTGCTGCCAAAGTGGCGGAGATGGATGCTGCTTGCGTGGTTTTTGCAGTTCGTAGAAAGTGTTTATGGACCCGTCGCGACATCTGCCTCGCCGCAAAGATCCGCATGTGGAGGTCCGTTCTCCAACACACTTGCAAATGCTGAGCTGTGTACGTGGAAGATGAGCAAAACCGGAGGTGTTTGACCACCGTTGCATGAGTACCATCCTTCGAGTAAAGTACACTGGCCTCGTTTCGGATGAAACAGTTTGCGCTCGTTACGACATCGCGAGGATATCTCAGGTCATCCAGGAAAGAAGGCCAAGATGTTTTGAGCACGTTATTCGTCGTCTGTCACATGAGTTTAGTGTTGTTGCTTTCGGTCGGGCTTCGTTGCCCAGCAGAAAGCGTCGAAGTGGCGAACAACTCAAAATCTGCTTCGACATACTTCGTCAAGGCATATAGGTGAATCTTCAACTTGCTGTACTTTGTTTCCGACCGAATGGACAGAGTTCCCAGATCGCCACGCGCACAGAAGTACAATTCAGGACATAATCGAGGCCGGCTAGGTTGGACCTAATCATAGCTGTTCAAAGTATACGTACCGCGTTTTACGAATATCTGGGGTTCTAGCCATCCTAATTCTTTCAAAAACGGGGAAAGTTTGCATGAGGTAAGACGGTGAACGTGGCATCAGGCTGTGTTTTAACTAACAGTACACAAATGCTAAGCCCTACATTTTAGTTACCGTAGATCCAGCCGCATTTGAGACCTTAAAATGTTACTCCCTTCACATTCTCCAGGTTTCTTTTTATAAAGTTGGTGAAGAAATTGGAAACCAAACGCAGGTCAAACCGTCTTCGTGGATGTTCTAGCTATAGCAATCTGAAGACCGGAACATATGTCCAGTAAGAACCGCAGTCTGTATCCTTAGTTGGACGCTTGTCTAGGTGCAAGGCTTTGTCAGGCTTTAAGGGCTTCCGGTTGCATTTTTCCCGACATGGAGATGGAATGCAAAGGGAACTTCTACTTAGATTAGTTTATAATGGGGGGACTTGCGCAGTGCACATCACACTCCTCTCACATCCACTATGTTGCAAAGATCAGTCTGAGCCCGGGCAGCCAGAAATGGGCTTGGGCGCAGTAGTTTCCCTGGAATAAAGCCCTCTAAGATTTCTCTCTCTCCGACCTCCGCCCACGGGCTGGATGACTCCTGATAGGGATGCAAGCAGGATACCCTCATTCGTCCGCAACCACCCGTAGAATTTGTTACCGTACTATTGTCGCTAAGCTTGATACACAGAGAAATCACGGATATGAGCTGGGTAGCAGGTAGTCTGAGGACGGATTGACCATCTTGTGCATGGGGACCTCTCCTGCGATCAAATTTATCGTCCCTTCTTGGGAATCTCTCACGTATGCCCTGTATTCTACTCGTCCTGCTTTCCACGTAGAATAGGAGGATAGAACTGTAGAGTGTTGTTACCGACAAAGACAAGGGGGATTGGAATGGCTGTCTCGGACTCACCAGCAATCATAAGCCAGTCATACACAACCCCAAAGTGTGGAACACCTGGGGCTCGATCTCGCGACGTGTAAGTTAGAAGTCCAACGCCTCTAACCACTGAGCCACGGGCTCGTTGTCCTACCGGTTGCGATTGACAATGGACTGGCTGACGACGGCTAATAAGCCAGAAATAACCATTCCAGTCTCCCTTGCCTTTGCCGGGAATAAGACTATGCCTCTATCATTCGCCGCTGTGCGGCTGCTGGTTGGGCTCGAGAGGGAGAATCCTTAAGGCACAATGGGAAGAGTGAGTTCCGTAAGAACGATCAGTGAGCGCCCCTCCACCATTGAAAAGAAAAGTCTGAAGCAGTATGAGGTGCTGGGTAGCGTCAGCCTTTCTTCAGGAGCTTACGGACCTTCAGTTACGTTAGCTTGAATCATGACAAGCGTCATGTTCGACTGCACCCAGTGGATCTGCTTTATCATACTCATCATTCAAGATCTTCTGCAAATCGCCATTTCGATATTTCCAACCTAGCCATGTGCGAGTTAAAATGAAAATCTCGTTACACATGGTCTTTAAAAAGATACAGGCAAAAGACTAAATGCAACAGAACGAAAATATATTCATTACAATCAGAGACACTGTATTTCGGGGTAGCTGATATATTTATATATGGCGGTTAATTTAGTGGACGCGTTTTGGTCCCCACAGTAGTCAAATTAAATCCCAGTTAGCACAAATGAGCGAGTAACTCAGTGTAGAGTTATTAGCTGCGGTTTCGGGCAGCAGTTGAAGCCGACGAGGCCAAGGCCTGCCCTGAAAGGGTGAGGTTAGGCCTAATAGGTCACTTTCTTTCGTCTAAGTGTACTGTTGCGCTGCACGAAACAAGGACGGCTGTGGTTGTCTGAACGTGCATTATGGTCGGTCAGACAGTAAGGCCAGCGCCTCTGGGAAAGTCCTCGGGAAGGTGACTAGCGTCGGGGCGGCGGTTGACTTCAGAGGCAAGTCCACAAATAGATGGTATACTGGGGGAGCAACTGTTTCACAGTTAATCGTGACAATATGCAGCTACGGTTGCATCTGTCAGTACGCGCTCGGGAGTTACTCTCCTCTGCTTATCTTCAATAACCACAAGCGTCCGTGGTCCTCTCATTCGTCAGTCTCCACTCCCTCGACGGGTTGAACATGAGCTTTGACCACTTTTCATGAGTTTCTAAGTATCCTCAGGTTAGCACACGCTAGTTACTCTCATTCGGGCGTTGAGACCGAGTAACTGATCTTGCGGACTTTGGTTTATCCGTCCCTCGTTTCAAACCGATGAACGGATACTCACAACACCAACTCCACGGTTGCCTTGTTCAACTGTCAAGGCACAGGTGTTCGCTCATATGAGTCCTGGTGGGAGGGGTTACACCACGACTGACTGCGTAAACAAACACTTGGTAATCGTTCCAGACGTGATTGCATAGTCAACAGCCGCTGAAAACTGGTAACGCTACCGTAATCTCTCGAGTTGCCGCCACAAAAAAAAACAGATGAGCGTTTCGGACCTCGACGCACATATTCATTTTGACTAAAATTGACCACTAATCGCGAGCATCCCTCATTAAGGCACCTTCTACTCAGGCATTTTGATGGCGAAACCTACGTCAAATACTTTTTCACCAGAGAGAACTAGATACTTCCTATGAATCTATGACGACCATTTTAGTATATCTTCGTGTGCATACGGCTTTTTAATGACCATCATGTCACAGTACGATGGCCGATGAATCAGAAGGTAGGAAAGACAGTTCAATGAATAGGCTTTTACTGAAGCGTGGAGTGTCCACGCAACACCACAAGGAGTTGCAGCTAACGTTCGTCCCAGGCAAGTTAGTCCTGATGCGAACGGCGTGCGTGCGGCTCGACTTTGTCTGCCAGAAGCCAATCGTCGAAAGACGCAGCGTCGATTGGCTTCTAGCTCTCGCCACACTAGTGACAAGTCGCCCACGGCCCTAGCAGCGAAATGACAGGCGGACAGAAGGGCTGCATGAGTAAGTGACCGTGCTGGTGATCGTGGGAGCGGACTCTCAAAAGTCCTCTTGTAATGCATTTTAGGGCTTGTCCCTTAATTATTTTTGTCTAAGTCGAAGTTTGCCAACCACATTGACCGTTTCCGTTTTTAATTACTAAACAGCGGTGTCTTCCCCACCCTCTGTTTTTTATGTCTACGGACGTCGGCGAGGTCCATCGGCCCATTGACGCGACACAAATTGTCAGTTAACGTGGAAGTGAGCTATCTATCTCGCGAAGGTCTGCTGTGTTGCAACACACGGTTAACGATACACTGCTTCTAGAAGGACAGTAAGTAGTTCAGGCCAAGGGGGTTGAGATTCCCGACTTGTCGCTGGTGTACAGTCCATTCATCAGGGCCGTAAAGCATCGTGGTCATTGCGACAGTTCTGTGTATTTTCAGTGCGGTCCTGAGACGGATATGCTTTCCTACCGAGTGTTGTACCTCGTCAACCATTTGGCTATCCTACTGAAATTCAAAATTCGAGTTAGCTATCGAGTGTAGTGGTTGGCAAGATTATAATTCCCAAGAGAGAAAAATTGTCCGAAACGCCGTGGTAGCTGCTTATTTCATGGTATGAGGACCATTTTCCATTTATCCATTATTAGTTCAAAACTTATCCGTCTGTGGACAATGAAATGCAAATTCTCCTGTATAAATCTAAAGATTGTTGTGGAATTTAGGTAACCCCCGAGGCAGACCACCCGTCTTAGCGACAGAGACACGACTTGACAACACCGTGACACAGATCGATACTTTGCTTTGGTCTGATTTGCCGAAGCCGGACACAGCTCAGGTGCACGTCCACACCTCGCGCAGACAACAACGGCTGGCTCTCGGTGTGGTAGAGCAATTGTTGCCTCTGATTTCTGAGCTGTTTATAGGTTCCCGATTGACTCAAAGGATTGTTCTACTTGTTCTGTCTCCGTGACTTTTGACCCGGGAAACTCGTTGTTTTCGAACTTTATACATCGACAACCCTACCGCATCTCATTAATCAAATTGAAGTCATCTGACCTGATTCTTTTGCCTGAGATGCAGACATCCTGTCGTCCTGAGATGTCCTCAATACAAGTCTGGACGTTTCTGGTTGTCATAAATTCTACATTGCTCTCCATAGTCCGTCTCAGCTCGCCTTGACGAGGCATTTGTTGAGATATGTCGTTGACTTAGCATACTATACCCGGGAAATTCATCATGGTTTCGTAAAAACAAATGCCCTCAAAAGCCATTTGTCCGTAGACAGCACTCCGGCTTTACCAGAATAACTTCGTCATTAATGACGAGGGTTCCCTGTCTGTCAATGGTCAATCGGAATGTGCGTGTGCCTGAAGAGGTTGGAGGTCGTCCCACATCCGATGAACAGGTTTACGTGTGGAATATTAGTTTCAGGGAGTAACGTTAATCAGAAACGGTTAGCCCTTGGTCTCCGGGTCAACACTGTCCCGGAAAGATATTTGCCATATTCGGTCATATGCGGTTATGCAGTCGCACCTGAGGTAAACAAACCCCAGCTGCCTGTAATACGGGGTCAATGGTGATATGAGTTTTTACGAGTGGGGCCGGGAAACGCACAGGCGACGATGTCAGGTAATTGTACGCAAATGAAAAGCTACTGGGGATGCACAATTTTACTTTGAGTAGCTGATAAATAGTTGCCCCAACAGTATTATTTCCAACAGATGCGGCTGCACAACCACACCTTACCAAGACATTCATATTCGAGATGACTGAACGTTTTACGATTGTCACCTTAGTTGGTAGGCGAATTCATGTTAGCTTGCGCACATTCGTACTTTGTTTTCGTTTTCCAGCAGGTAGGTGTAGCCATATGATCTTTCAAGAGCTGGATGTTACCCGCAGTTTTGGACTACAGATCAAGAAGACGTGCCAGTCGGAAGCGGGGAGCTTTCGTCTGTGCGACAAGATAGGGATGAAATGGGTTTCCTGAAGATTGACATCAAACGGCTTCTAATGTCCTACCTTTTTTGGAGGTAAGGGATGGACATTGGAGCATTTGCGGATACAGTTACCAAAAAGCACTTTACATAAACTGGAGCCTTTAACATTCAACTGGCGGTTAGGAAAGGATGATGGTTTCGAAGTCTGCATCGTCCTTTGAACGACTTGTTCTCTCTAATCTATCCTTGGACATTTGCAGAAATTGTTTTTCTGTTCAATACAAGCCTGTCTACCCACGGTCTCACATTTTCGCCATTGACTTGAACTCGGGACCGCACATTTATTTACTGCCCTTCTTGCATAGATGATGACTTAAACAAAACAAATAACCCAGAGGGAGGGTACAAGTAACACAGATTTGGCTTTGCACCGAGGGCATACTAAAACTGAAAGTTTCGCTGCCCAGATACCATAGAAAAGTAAAAATTATCACGGTCGGTTACCCAACAGTGTCCTTTAGGCGGTTGATTTCGTCTAAATATTCTTTGCCTGGAAAAAATTTTAAAGAAGCCAACACTGGACGTAAAAGGTATTTCATGGCGACACCAAGGCTGTTGAATTTTCGCGCATTTATTAACGATCTTTTGGTATTTGTACGCTGCACTTCGCTGCACCTGTTTGCTTTGTTTTGACAAGTTTTACACATTATTCGACAGTTCGGCCGTCGATTTCGGCAATTTCGACTGTGTGTCCCCGGAGCATGGTGAGCACAGGGACAGTGGACTATGCGTGAATAATTTTAAAGTGGTAGTAGACTTGCGCTGCATCTATCACGCTACCTTTTCCCTCAGCCTCCCGAATCCGGTGTTAAAAGGGAGTCAAGGAGATTGCAGGCGGGAGCAGGCGCAGATAACTGGTGCGACGTGAGCCTGCGTCCAGGCGTGCCAACACACCTCCGAGGTGTGGCATTTTTTAGGGGCGCGCATCCCCAATAACGCCTGTCATTCCCTGATCTGGACCCGTGTTGGCCCTTGAGGTCGATGAACTTATCGCATCGGCAGCGGTATAGAGAAGGACCCCACTTAGCTGTCAGTAGGCTGTGGATCGTGTTATATGGGGTTTAGTATTCGCACACATTTGCAGGCCGATGCAGAAATTACACTGCCAACAACGATTACTTCCTACGACCTCACACCTTAGCGCAAAATCCGTTATTGTGTGAAATTCGCTTTTTGATTATTGTTTAACTACTAGTCTCATTTCCGTTCTCACACAATAGCGTAGGATAAGACTTTCGGCACAAATCCGGGCAATTTCTGTGTTTTCTTTCATTTTGTCAGCTTACTGTCTAGCCTGCTGCCCCACCCATAAAACTCTCTTTACCATAAATCACGTGTGGCACGATCCAAAGTCTACTGACAGCTAAGTGGGGTCCTTCTCCACACCGTTGCCATTGCATCAACTGTTAGGAGCAATTTTTTGTGGGGATAATTCCTGATCGGAAGACTTTCTGTTCTAGAAAACCATTGTCAGGGTTTTCCAGTGTCATTTAATATTTCTTAAATTTTGAGCTTAATTACGTTTTGGAGGTTTCAGACGTTGTCGAATGTTACGTCATCCACTAGCTTTGAAAGCGACCTAAAAGGTGATAGTCTGACGGAGCAAGATCAGGACTGAAGGTCGGACATGGCAGTACTTCCCAGTCTAGCCCTTGGATGAGCATTTTGGCGAATTGGGTCGTGTGAGATTGGATGGATTCATGTAGCAGAATCAGCTGGCCTTGACGATCGGATGGTTTTCGTAGAGTAGCATAGTCTGAGCGATGCATCTGAGCTGCATAGAGGTTTCTTTTCATCGTCTGACTTTTTTCGAGCATTTCGTAAGTTGCTACGCACCCCTAATCCTACCCCACCTAAATCATAATCTTTCGAGGATAATGATCCTGCTTTGGCCAAGATGTTGTTTCCTCATTGCAGCTCACCTACTTCGTTGCTTCATACTGACGTGGAGGAAACATTTATCACCTCCAATGACTATGTGACGGAAGAATCTTTATTTGTGTCTAAGGGGGCCTTTATGCCACACAAGGAAACCGGCAGCGATAGCAAAGCCCCCATGTTTGCCGCCTTCAAACAAAGTGTGCGACACCCAACCTTTAAACCTCTGAACTTTCCCCACCGACTCCATGTGAGTGAGGATGATATGATGGTGTCAGTGCAATTTTTCCGTCATTTCACTGTTGGTCTACCGGCCATTTTCTTTCAAAGCTGCATTAAGGCAATCCTCATTGAAACCAGTCCGTCGCCGGTAGGGGAGAAGGCCGTCTTTGATCTTGAATCTGTCATTTTAAATTCGACGAACCAATATTGAGGTATTCTTTCAGGCATAGCGTCCTCTTCGTACACAACCAGCTTTAGCAGCTTTGGAGCAAAAGGAAGCAAGTGTCAAAAATTATCACTTCTCTCAACTTTACACGCCATTATTTAAGCATTAAATGTAAGAAACAGTAAATTCTATGGGAAAGCGGGCATGGTGGCCTTGTAGAGCAAAAATGCTCTCGAAAAATATTTTATCCTCACCACAGCAAAGAAAACTGGTGGGAGAGTTTTCATTTGCAAGGAACGAGATACTTATCAGACAACCCAGTACATAGCCGAGAGCCATCCCAAGTATCTTGGAAGAGAGAGCGAGATGTCCCACCATAAACCCATTCTCGCGCAGGTCGCCAACGCGCCTTCGGGACATTGGTGGTCCTCGTTGATAATAACAAACGGACTACATGACACAATATATGATAGACATATGCAACAGTAGTCAACAAACTGTTGACGAAGTCATTTTTGATCCCCTTTAAAAAAATCCCGACTGGTGCGTCAGGCTATACAACGGTTGCCTTCTGTTGGCTGTCGTTTATAGCGTGTCTAAGGTCAGTTTTGGCGTTCTACCCTGCCACTTGAATATCTGCTTTTAGAATGTTGGCAAATTTAGATTTTCCCCAGTAAGCCCTGCTACGACAGCTTCGGCCTAAGGAGGAGGAGGAGTCATCGGAAAGGCACTGTCCAGGTTTGTGAAGTGTATAAAAACTTTCCTCCCATGAAGGAATCTGGTGCAGGGATTGCGAGCCAAGAAGCTATGCCGCGTCCGTCACCTGCTTGTCCGATTCAGACAGCAGCGAAGGTTGCTTACGCGTACACCCCAGACCTGTGCTGCAGATAGGAGGCATCACGCGAGGCAGCGCACGTTGTGAATGCTGACTCAACCTATCCCACCTCAGCCAATAAGCAAGGCGCCGTGGCTGTTCGACCAGGCATGCGCCGACCGAGGGAAGTGTTCAGGGGAGTTCTGGCGGACACAGTTGATTTAGAAGAGGAGGTGGGAGCGGGGTAGGCCGTGGAGAAATGGTATCTGATAGACTCGGTCTTCTGTAGGTGAGTTAGACGCTGTCGTTACTAGACCTCTGATTGTCTTCCAAATTTCGAAGACTGTATTCGTGTGAGGAAACTTGCTAGCGTGCCCAAAGAGGCACTAGTTCCCGTTCTGTAATGTAAGACATGCTTCAGGTATTTGTTCCAAAGGAGAATTAGGAACACGCTAGCAGGTGATATATCACATAAGTTGCTCAGACCAAATCGGCCCTGCTAATCACTCCTTAACTCCTCTCAATCTCGAACTGAGAGTGTCCAAACCATTTCAAAATCCTGCTCAACCACTCGCGGCAGCATGCTGGTGAGCCTGAAATGTTTGGCTTAAAGCGAAATTCGTCATAGAGTACCCTTTGAAGAAGGAGACACGATCGCCGGGACAAGAGCTTTGTTAGCCTGACGTTTCGGATTCCTACTCGAATCCATCATCAGAGACAAAAGAGCAGAAACGGGTGGTTGTTGCACAAGGGGCTGCGGTATTTATAGGATGCAGTAGCCATGCTACCGCATACATATGAACGTTCACAGCTCCCCCCTTCATCCGGGATTGTCGCACTTGGTGTGATCATTGCTTGATGGCCGACATTCGACTCGATAATTGCTGCAATTTCATCACGTGCGTTGGATGTTGGCGTGATGATTGCTCGACCATCTGACGCATCGACCCCGGTGTTGGGAAGAGTGTTCACCTCTGCGCTCCCCGCATGGCTTGTTACCCCGCCTAGGCGAAGTTTCAGTACGGAGTATGGAATGGGAAGATCGTTGCACTTGTTGATGGACTGGGGGCCAGTAAACCATGATTCCAGTAGCTCCCGGCTCACTCGGTTTTCACCTCTTGCGAGAATTTCGGCCTCAACGAATTTCAATGTGTGGCCGGATCTCGTCGAATGAGCTGCAACTTGAGAGCTGGCGTCATTTCTGCGCACCGCTGCCGCGTGTTCGGCCATTCTCGTTCGCAGCTGTCTTCCGGTTTCTCCGACGTAGTTGCTTTGTCCGCAACTGCACCAGATCCGATAAACGACTCCTGACGTTTCTAGCCGTGGCAGTGGGTCTTTCGGTTTCATGACCAGACGCCTGATGGTTGCCTCCGGTCTGTGTGCCACTCCAACCCCAAGTGGTGCGAGAAGGCGGCCGACAGCTTCCGAAACGTTCTTGACACACGGGAGTGCCCGCCAAGACTTGGTGTCCGTGCGGTTAGGCCTTTCGTCCCTTTTGTGTATGTACCGGTCGACGAGGTTGCGCGGGTAGCCATTGGCTTTGAAGACCCGTCGGAGGTATTGCAGTTCAGCAATTTTGTCTTCCGGCTCACTGCAGTGCGTTTCGACACGCCGATAGAGCGTCCTTACACAACTGCGTTTGTGGCTGATTGGGTAGTTACTGGTGAAGTTCAGTACTTGCATCGTATTTGTCGCTTTCCTGAACACTTTGGTCTTTAGTCCACCACAATCCTTGCGGCATACGAGGACATCCAGGAAGGCCAGCTGGTTGTTCTCTTCCTCGTCCATCGTAAATTGAATGTCCGGGAAGACGGCGTTGAGATGTTCTTGGAATGTCAACACCAGATCCCGTTCGATGACGACGAAGGTATCATCCACATACCGGGCCCAGAATTTCGGTCTGTGGTGTTGGAAGACCAGCGACTCTAACCGTTGCAGGACCGCCTCAGCGATGAATCCCGAAATCGGCGAACCCATTGGTGTGCCCTTCACCTGTTCGTAGATTGTCCCGTCGAACGTGAAGTACGTCCTGAGACAGAGCTTCAAGAGCTGAAGGACTTGGGCGTGTCCAAGACGGTTCTCCGTTTCATCGTATTTGCTTTGTAGTAGCAGCTCAATTGTCTCGATCGCCAGGTCCTAGAGAATAGAAGTAAAAAGGGATGTAACATCAAAAGATACCATGACCTCATTTGGATGGATGCTTACCCCTTTGAGTTTCTCCAGGAATTGTGCTGACGAAGAGACCGTGGTGTCTGACTCAGCGGTCAGGAACTTGAGACGCCGGAACAGCCACTTAGCCAGTCCGTACGTTGGAGTCCCTTTGAGCGACACGATGGGTCGGAGAGGAGCGCCGTCTTTTTGCACCTTAGGGAGGCCATAGAATCGGGCCAAAGCCGTATCTTGGGTTCTCGCCATGCGTCTGTCTGTCGGTGTTATTGCACCTGAGTTCTCCAAGGTCAACAACGTAGCATTAATTTCGCGTGTCAGCGCCTTTAAAGGGTTCGTTGCACATGGGACATAGAACTGTCGGTCCTCCAGTAAACCTTTGGCTTTTTGAAGGTAGTCTGTCCTGTCCAGTAAAACTGTGGCGCGTCCTTTGTCCGCTGGCACGATGACCAGGTCTTTGTCGGCCTTGAGTTCTCTAGGCGCATCACGTTCGACCTTGGAAAGCACTTCCCGCGGCCTGTGGGCCATCAGGAGAGACGACACTTGGTGTCCGATGAGGTTCTTAGTCTCCTCCGTTGCCTCCGTCTGACAAAGGATTGATTCCACTGCTGCAATCATGTTAACAGGTTTGGCGTCAGCCGTGTTAAATGAAGCTTCGTGCCGTAAAACCTGCATCTGATCCTTCGTCAGCTCCTTTGATGACAGGTTGTGCACTCGTTTGTCGTTTCTGGGCGACGTTGGATTGGGCAGCTTTCGAAATTTGTTCTCCGGTGCTGCGTCGCGTATCATGCTCTGTTCGCGGGCTTGTTCAGCTATCCTCCGCAGGAGCAGATTCGTACCGATTTCACCCATGAACTCACAGCATCTGGTCTTTTCTTGGTCAATCCTTTGACGGTACTTACGAAGTCTCGCGTGGCAATCTTGGAGGAGCACTCGGATCATCCTTCTGCCGTGCTGAAATACTGCTCGTCTCGCCAAATCCATGTTAACCGGTGGCTTGTATGAAACACATTTCGGTAACACATTATTGTCGAGACACCTGTGCAGAAACCGGATCTGCGAATACGTAGCGGCCTCCCGAAGGGCGAAGGTTTCCCATCGCCGGGCCGATCGGAGGGCATCCCGCCCAAATACATTGCCAATAGAAGCGAAGAGCCGAGTCCCAGGAAGTAGTCTTGAAGAAGGAGACACGATCGCCGGGACAAGAGCTTTATTAGCCTGACGTTGTCCGTGGAAAGCTCGCTAAAGTACTAACATACCAGACGCGGACGGCTGTTTCACAGCCATTGCTGATCGTCAGTACGTCATAAACCTGTCTTGAACAGAATCGAGTCAAGTAACTTTCCATCCACAGCAACAGAGGGTCACACGCCTACTTGGAAAATTTATCTTGTTTGTTCTCTTGAGACCTCCTTGGCTTAGCCAGCAAGTCTTAGGAAATTCCGTTTGGGCAATCAACTTATTGTTTCAGATTTGGTGGATTCCATCCGGTGGGGCCTCGTAGCTCAGGTGGCTAGAGCATTAGCGGTGCTCAAGCCATCACCATACAGTGGTGGGCTCAAATCCCACCGAAGTCGCCGATTTTTTTTCTCAGTTGGGTCAAAAGATATCATTCTAAATCTGCCAAAACACCTGAATTTTTATAATTGTCTTAATATTTCATCCGTCGAACTCCGCCAGGGTCGCCACTGCCTGCGGGAGGAGGCGGGCGACGGTGAACTGAACGAGAAGGGGATCTG